GGTCCGGGCTGGGGATTCGAACCCGCCATCTTAGGTGTACGTGGCTGGCGCCTTAGCCGGTTGAGCTATAGGCGCCGAGCCGATCTCATGCTTCTTAAAGGGATTTTATGGCAACTGCTCACATGGAACAGGAGGGTCAACACAGGAGCCAACACAACAGTTCCAGCATACAGGTTCCTCTTTTCTCCCACCTATGACTATAGGTATATCTGAGCCTGAAATTTATATATATGAAATCCCTGGTAGTCTAGTGTTGGGGGAGGGGGAAATATATATATATATGTGTGTGTGTGTATATATATATATATATATACACATATAAATGAAAGCCTTAGAGAGGTTGTGAAAATCCTGGCTAAGTCTGTGAGAGGATGCCTGGTAGGGATCAGGCCAACCTGGGGGCCTATACAGAGAACAAGTGATGATGCTTGAGGGCACTTCTCTCTATATGCCTGACTTGGTTTGAGATGTCTTCTAGGTCCTTACCAGCCGTACACTGTATACCCTATAATCTCTTCCTCACTTACCTGTGCTCTGCTTCCAGAGAGTGTGAGAGAATCTCCCTTTCTTCCAGTATTGGGAGAGCAAGACCATTCTGGTGACAGCCTTCCTCTCCATTTTGCTTTGGTTCAGGTGTGCTGTCATCCTCCAACTGCAATAAGGAAAAAGGAGGACATACTTGGTATAAAGTTTTTTGTGAAAAAATACAAAAGCAAGGAGTCACAAAGTGCTTTCTAGAAGGTAGCCTCAGCCCATTAAGTTTCCCCACTTACAAATGAGTACCAGCTACATCAACAACAGATTCTAAAATTTATATGAAGAGGCAAAAGATCCAGAATAGATAACACAATACTGAAAAAAAATAAAGGACTGATACTATCTGACATTAAAACTTAGTATAAAAAGTTAAGAGTAGGCTTGGTGCCTGTGGCTCAAGCAGCTAAGGCACCAGCCATATATACCTGAGCTGGCAGGTTCGAAGCCAGCCTGGGCCTGCCAAATAATGACAACTGCAACCAAAAAATAGCTGGACATTGTGGTGGGTGCCTGTAATCCCAACTACTTGGGAGGCTGATGCAGGAGAATCGCTTAAGCCCAAGAGTTTGAGGTTACCGTGAGCTGTGACACCATGGTACTCTACCTAGGGTAATAGCTTAAGACTCTGTCTCAAAAAAAAGTTTGAGGTTGCTGTGAGCTGTGATGCCACAGCACTCTACTGAGGGTGGCATAGTAAGACTGTCTCAAGGAAAAAAAAAGTTAAAAGTAAATAAAACAGTGTAAGAAGTGCTCATAAGATGTGTGCAAAGGCTCGCTGCCCATAGCACAGTGGTTATAGCACTAAGCACATGGGTGGCAGGTTTGTGCCCAGCCTGAGCCAGCTAAACAATGACAGCTGTTGCAAAAAATAGCCAGGCTTTGTGGTGGGTGCCTGTAGTTCCAGATGCTTGGGAGGATAAGGCAAGAGAATAGCTTGAACCTAAGAGTTGGAGGTTGCTGTGAACTGTGATGCCACAGCACTCTACCAAGGGCGACACATTGTGAAACTCTGTCTCTAAAAAAAAAAGTGTTCAAAAAAGAGAAAGTGTTGGATTGGCAGAAACAAACAGTTCAATGTAACAGAAAAGAGAGCCCAGAAATAGACTCATGACAGAAGAGTAAAGATAATACAATAGAGAAAAGATATTCTTTTCAACAACTGGACATTCACATGCGTAAAATAACAAATCAACCTAAACAAAGAGGGTGGTGGGTCGAAACTTGGTCCCGGCCAAACTGCAACAAAAAATAGCTGGGTGTTGTGGCGGGTGCCTGTGGTCCCATCTACTGGAAGGCTGAGGCAGGAGAATTGCCTAAGCCCGAGTTGGAGGTTGGAGGTTGCTGTGAGCTGTAACGCCATGGCACTCTACCAGGGTGATAAAGTGAGACTCTGTCTCTTTAAAAAAAAAAAAACCTAAACAAAGATTTTACACCCTTCACAGAAATTAACTCAAAGAAGGCCACAGACCTAAATATAAAATGGAAAACTATAACACTACTTAAAAAAAAAAAAAACTACTAAAGATAACATACAAGAAAACCTAGATAAACTTGGGTACAGTGGCTCGGCGCCCATAGCTCAAGCAGCTAAGGTGTCAGCCACATGGCACCAGAGCTGGCGGGTACCTGTAGTCCCAGCTACTCAGGAGGCTGAGGCAAGAGAATCACCTAAGCCCAGGAGTTGGAGGTTGCTGTGAGCTGTGATGCTAAGGCACTCTACCCAAGAGGATAGCTTGAGGCTGTCTCAAAAAAAAGCAAAAAACTTGGGTACAGTAATGATTTGTTTAGATAACAACAGCAAAGGAACAATCCATGAAAGAAATAACTGTTAAGCTAAACTTCATTAAAATTAAAAACTTCTGCTTTGCAAATTAGACTGTCAAGAGAGGCGGTGCCTGCAGCTCAGTGAGTAGGGCACTGGCCCTATATACCGAGGGTGGCAGGTTCAAGCTGGGGCCCGGCCAAACTGTAACAAAAAATAGCCGGGTGTTGTAGCAGGAGGCTGAGGCAAGAGAATTGCCTAAGCCTAACAGCTGGAGGTTGCTGTGAGCTATGAGTGCTGTGACTCCACAGCACTCTACCAAGGGTGATAAAGTGAAAAAAAAAAAAAAAGAAAAAAGAAATACTAGCCACGCAGCACGGTGGGGACCTATAGTCTATAGTCCTAGCTACTCAAAGACTGAGGCACGAGGATTGCTTGAGCCTAGAAGTTTTAGGTTGCCGTGAGCTATGATGATGCCATGGTATTTAATCTACCGAGGGCAACAGAGTGAGATTCTATCTGAAATAACAAACAAATAAAACAAACCCCATTTGTACTATATTAAATATGTTAAGGTCTGACCTACAAGGATTTGATTATAGAAACTAATAAAGTAGTCAGGGAAGGGAGGGAGAAGGGAAAAAGAAAAGATAACCTAGTTAATAAACAAACACATAGGATTGTGCCTGTGGCTTAAGTAGTAGGATGCTGGCCAAAAACTACAAAAAGAAAAAAAAAAAACCAACCAAAAAAACACAAATACATCACCAAAGAAGATATAGTTAGATGCTTCACATTGTATGCAACCAGGGAAATGCAAATTAAAATTACATTTGTATCAGAAGGATAAAATCCAAAACATTGATGGTATCATGGCTGGTGGGAATGCAAAATGGTACTGCATTGGAAGACAGTTTGGTGTTTTTTTTTGTTTTTTTTTTTTTTTAAGCAATGGGGTCTCTCTCCTGCTCAGGCTGGTCTCAAAGTCCTGAACCTCAGCTCCGCCTCCCAGAGTACTAGCATTACAAGTGTGAAATGAACCACCACACCTTGCCTCAATTTGGTGGTTTCTTTTTTTTTTTTTTT